AAAACCATGCAAGGAGAATTTGAAATGTCAATGATGGGAAAGCTTACATTTTTTTTGGGATTGCAAATCAAACAAATGCATGATGGAATTTTCATAAGTCAAAGCAAGTATTGCAATGAACTTCTGAAAAAGTTTGGTATGGAAGGGTGTAAGGAGGTTGCCACACCTATATCAAACAATTGCAATCTTGACTTAGATGAGAAAGGAATTGCTGTTGATAGTTCAAAGTATAGAGGCATTATTGGATCACTCTTGTACTTGACAGCAAGTAGGCCTGATATAATGTTTGTTGTGTGCCTATGTGCAAGATTCCAAGCTAATCCTAAAGAATCTCATATGAAGAGTGTGAAGAGAATCCTTAAGTATTTGAAAGGTACAACCAATGTGGGGTTGTGGTATCCAAAGGGAGTCTCACTAAGTCTGATAGGCTACTCAGATTCAGACTATGCTGGGTGTAGACTAGATAGAAAGAGCACAAGTGGAACTTGTCACTTACTAGGTAGTGCACTTGTTTCATGGCATAGCAAAAAGCAAGCTTGTGTTGCTTTGAGTACAGCTGAGGCTGAGTATATAGCTGCTGGAAGTTGTTGTGCTCAAATTCTTTGGATGAAACAACAATTAAGAGATTATGGAGTTGAGTTGAACAAAATTCCTTTGAGGTGTGACAATACTAGTGCAATAAATCTGACCAAGAATCCAATTTTGCACTCTAGGACAAAACATATTGAGATAAGACACCACTTTTTTTAAGAGACCATGTGCAAAGGAATGATTGTGTTGTAGAGTTTGTAGAAACTAGCAAACAACTAGCTGATATTTTTACAAAACCTCTACCAAGGGAGAGATTCAACAATTTGAGAATTGAATTGGGAATAATCAATGAATCATGTTTAAGTTGATCATGCTTTGAGAATGATAGTTAGAGATGTTTGGAAGAGAGTATTTAAAGTGACAAATAAGACTTGGTGAAATTTGAGAAGTTAAAATTTCTGAGGAGCAAAACTTCTCTGGAATAATCGATTATCTTAAGATATAATCGATTATCTTAAGTAAACCCATGAAAATAATCGATTATTTGGGTAATAATCAATTATCTGGAACATGAAGAATTCCAAGAGCCACTGAAATAATCGATTATTTGGGCAATAATCGATTATCTGGTAAGAAGGAACTAAAGAGTCATTGTAATAATCGATTATCTTGGGTAATAATCGATTATCTGGGAGTTGGAATCTGAGAAGTCACTGAAATAATCGATTATTCTGTAAATAATCGATTATTTGGGCTGTGTTAGGAGAAAATACCCTCTGTAATAATCGATTATCCTTAAAATAATCGATTATCTATATCAGATTATGTTTTTAAAGGGTTTTTGCTGATGCAAATAATCGATTATTTGCATAAATAATCGATTATCTGGGTAGTTCTTTTAAAACTTCCTAAAACGGTTATCTACGCGCCAAACCCTTGGATCCTCCTATAAACCCTCACTCAGAATGTGTTAGGGCATAATCCTCCTCTTCTCTCATTTTCTCTCATTCTCTCTCAAACCCTCAAACCCTAACTCTCTCAAACCCTCTCAAATCTCTCATTTCCTTCATCTTTCTTCAATACCCATCCATGGCATCTTCATCCAAGAGACCAAAGAAGCTTGAAGTGAGGGGGAGCAAACGACCTCTACCCACTGGGCAGCTGATTACGAAATGGTTTGCTGATGAGAAGGCTCAAGAGTACTATTTTGAGTGGTACGCCGGGCGGAGAATCATTCCTCCGAAGACCCTTAAACTTGAATGGTTTAAGAATGAAGGTTTTAGTTTTCCAACCCTTTTGGAGCACCAAGAACTGAGCAAGTTTTTAGAGATGGAATGTCCCTACTATCCTGAGTTAATCAGGCTTTTTCTCTGTTTCGCCACGAGCAATGAGGGCATCATGCAATCGGTGGTGAAAGGAAAGTTGATTAAGTTGGACAGACCAACTTTGAAGGTTGTTGCGGGACTGAGCGGCACTGGAAAGGAGAAACCCAACCTTTCAATTTTGGGGATTTTGAAGCGATGATTA